AGCCAGCAATATCTTTGACTGCTGCTAGCAGGCAAAGATATTTGTTTACTGAAGGAAAAAAAAATACAGAGCGACCCAAAAGTTATTGTACGGTAACTTTGTATTGTATTAATGTTATTAACTCAATAACATGTAAAATAAAAATAAAACAATATCAAAATTAATATAAATACGACAATTTTTAAGTTAAAACCAAAATCCATTGTTATTACTTTAGCTATTTTTGGTTATTTAAATTTTACATATGATTGTGTTAATCAATTAGCATATGGGCACAGGGTGGGTATGGGGTGCATAATAAATGAAAAATAGTATTTATGGTCAAGTTCCTTCACAATAACCCTGTTTACCATATGTTTCAGGAATCAGAGTATATCTTTTATTTTTTTTTAATTTTGCCCCGAGGGGCGAGTTTATTGGCCAGCGCCACTCATCCTGTGAATGAACACACCGTCAACTCATCCTGTGAGTCGACACACCGTCATAGTGACAGTATTGGGCAGCGCCACTCACCCTATGAGTGAACACGCGGCCATAGTATCCACCAGGTCTGGTAGCCTGGTAGATAGCGCGCAGGACTCGTAATTCTGTGGCGCGGGTTCGATTCCTACACCAGACAGAAACAAATGGGCAAAGTTTCTTTCACCCTGAATGCCCCTGTTACCTAGCAGTAAATAGGTACCTGGGAGTTAGTCAGCTGTCACGGGCTGCTTCCTGGCGTGTGTGTGTGGTGTGGGGGGAAGAAAAACGTAGTTAGTAAACAGTTGATTGACAGTTGAAAGGCGGGCCGAAAGAGCAAAGCTCAACCCCCGTAAACAACTAGGTGAATACTAGGTGAATACAGTATTGGGCAGCGCCACTCATCCTGTGAGTGGACACACCGCCACTGTTCATAGTGGACACAAATTAACAAAGCCAAATTAGGAGTGCTTCTCGATGAATATAAAATTCGTAGCCAAAGGTGAGGACTGCTGGCCGCCAGGTGTCCTCCCGAGACGTTGAGACATTACGGAGACGGCCCCCGCGTCGAGGCGGGTCACAGAGACGGCCCCCGCGTCGAGGCGGGTCACAGAGACGGCCCCCGCGTCGAGGCGGGTCACAGAGACGGCCCCCGCGTCGAGGCTGGTAAGTCACACTCTTCTCCGTTCATGTTGAAGTGACAGGGGGAAGATCACCGTCCAGTCCAAGTGGTTGGACAGGTGGCAGGGGGAAGACGCTGACACATTAATATAAACTGCAGCAATTTGTATAGGAGAATCAAGGGTTCAATTATTTCCAGTAGAAAGGAGATTGAGAGAGAGAGAGAGAGAGATTCACGTCCTTATTTTTAATACCCTTGACAGTTTTGTTCACCTGATAATAATCTGCTTTATACCTGCGAACAAAGCTCATCCAGATAACATGTACATGAGCGAGAGTTTAGCGTGCCACGGGTAGAGTTAATGTATGCTTGTTGCTTCTGCACGCAGTTGGGGTCTGTTACAACGGCCTCTTTGTCTCGTAAAGGACTGAATCTCTCATTTAAGAACAAAAATATCCCCCCCAGTACAAACAACTACACGGCCCACTTCACTATAATTACATTCACCATTCGACATACTAAAAAAAATAAATCAGTTTGCAATGATTTGACTGCAATAAATTGGGATATATATATATATATATATATTCTAAGTTGAATAACTTCAATGAAAGCCTTGAGAAGGCCGGTGAGGAGAGGTGGAGAATGCATGAGGTAGACATTAATGAGGAAGCGTGATGCAGCAGACCAGAGACGCAACGACAAGTCATCTACCCACAGACAACAGCCACAGCATCACACACTTCCACGACTGAACGACAGATTAAAGAAGTGTTAACAGTGGACAAGAAAGCATTACACAAGGAGCAGGAAACACAACAACAGCATATAGCCATTACGTTAAGAAACCTCCCCAAAAAATATTTATTTTACGCACTCACTGCATGATGAGTAAGACTCATCAACCTCATCTCAAGATGGGGGTCGCCGACGCCATTCCTCATCACGCTCCACAAATGTAATATATTTCCTGTGGCATTCGTTCCCTCTATATGTCTCCCTGCGCACGGCACGGGTTGCACGGCAAGACGGGTTGAAACACGTACTTAACATGTTAAGGGTTCCAAGATTGTCAATAATCTTGCTGTCGGCGCTGGCAGCCGCGGCGTCAACGCCCCGGTGTCAGCCGTGGTGGCATCTCCACTACTGTGTGTGTTCAGAGCAGGAAATTCCTTGCTTGTTTACGTAATAAGACGCTAGGCAGTTAGTTGTTCTGGTGATATCAGTAGTAGTGTAGAGTATCCGGCCCTTGCTTGGCTTTGTGGCCTCTGGCCGGTGTGGCCTCTGGAGGTCAGGACGGTGTGTGGCCTTTGGAGGTCAGGACGGTGTGTGGCCTCTGGAGGTCAGGCCGGTGTGTGGCCTCTGGAGGTCTGGCCAGTGTGTTGGTGTGGCCTCTGGAGGTCAGGTCGGTGTGTGGCCTCTGGAGGTCTGGCCGGTGTGTGGCCTCTGGAGGTCTGGCCAGTGTGTGGCCTCTGGAGGTCAGGCCGGTGTGTGGCCTCTGGAGGTCAGGCCGGTGTGTGGCCTCTGGAGGTCAGGCCGGTGTGTGGCCTCTGGAGGTCAGGCCGGTGTGGCCCTCTGGAGGTCTGGCCAGTGTGTTGGTGTGGCCTCTGGAGGTCTGGCCGGTGTGTGGCCTCTGGAGGTCTGGCCGGTGTGTGGCCTCTGGAGGTCTGGCCGGTGTGTGGCCTCTGGAGGTCTGGCCGGTGTGTGGCCTCTGGAGGTCTGGCCGGTGTGTGGCCCTCTGGAGGTCTGGCCGGTGTGTTGGTGTGGCCTCTATGAGTAAGGGGTCATATGAGGCCAGACCCCCATCTAAAACCTTCATTAGTCTATCATCTACCCAAAAACCTCAGCATTCAACCATCTATCCAAACAGCTCAGTAGTCTACCATCTACCCCACCACCTGGGAGGCCGGCCCTGCACCCGGCAACCAGGCACGGTGGCACATGCTCGTCTTGCCGAGGCGTGAAATTAAAATCTTCATTATCGAATTCAGAGCCTTAAATTGGCCGACACGTAACACCCGGATGGGCGGCGTTAATTACGTACAAGGGTTGTTTACAAAGATTATGATAATAGCGGGAAAAGTTAAGCACTTCCTTGACGACGGGGGTATTCGACCTTCAGACGGTAACAGTGAGGGGGCTTGTCCTGGCTCGTGTGCACTTGCGTCCAACAGCAGCTTGGTCCACTGCTTGCGCTCTCTCTCTCTCTCTCTCTCTCTCTCTCTCTCTCTCTCTCTCTCTCTCTCTCTCTCTCTCTCTGCACACAAGGGAGGACAGCAGGCGGATCTGGGACTCTTCACAAAGGCTGTAGGAGGAATGATGGCGGAACAGTTTAAGATAATCCTGCTATTGTTGAGAGGCAGCCCCCCCAGCGTCGACCCTCGCCACCCCCCCCTTCACTCTGACTCCTGCCCCATTGTGGCATGGATTCCCGCCTTTCCTGACTGAGATTTGGGGAGTAAGACCAGACAAAACCTTTGGTGAAGCAGCAATAGGCTCAGAGGGAAAGAAGATACTTAAGGCAACAGTATTAAAGGCTGTGAAAACTACCCAAGTCAAGAAATGTATGAGGCAGGAGCTGCATGGAGAGAGAGAGAGAGAGAGAGAGAGAGAGAGAGAGAGAGAGAGAGAGAGAGAGAGAGAGAGAGAGAGAGAGAGAGAGAGAGAGAGAGAGAGAGAGAGAGAGAGAGAGTAGTAGTAGTGGTAATATGCATCCTATCTGAGCCAGATGCAACATTGGACATTTAGCATATCTGCAAGCTAGGTAGGTTTCAGAGAGAATGAAATCAACCAGTGAAAGTTATATTTACAAACAGCAAGTCAGTTAAATATATACTTGCATCAAAATTGATATTTCGGAAATGAGGAAAAGTACCATTCAGTTTTTATTTGACAGGATATGTCTAGGGAGAATATGGAAGCAGCAATGATAATCGGGGAAGAAAAGCAAACACGAAACGCAAGGTGACAAGAAAATGGCACAGACATTGCAAAAAAAATGCAAATCCGGCAGCAGAAAGTAGAGCACATAGTGGGGGTGTTGACCAGCTTAATGATGCAGAGTGCTACAGAGAGAAATAGCATGGCTGCCTAGTGTAACAAGGTAGCCACACACATGAATAGGCATGAGATATCATCATAACCCCTCTTTCCTATCTAAGACATAGAAATGTAGTCACATGAACTCTCACACTTAAGTCACTCTCTGGGGAAAGACAAAACCATCGCAATTGTGATGAGTAACATAAAAATAATGTACACAAATGCAGATGGAATTAGAAATAAAGGGGCAGAATTACACGAAAGAGTAGCAGAACAACTACATGATTGTGACAACAGAAAACTGACCAGTGTTAATCGAAATTCAATCTCCTAATGAGGTTATCAAATAATAAGGAAACAGGACGAACCGAGAGGAAGGTGCAGTAGACCTATTGCTACAGCTACACTGGAACTTTGAAGAAGTAAAATTAGCAGAAGAATCTGGCCAGCAAGAGTTCAAGCAACGAATACTGGGAGACATGAAGATAGTGGCAGCAGTGTTTTAGAATCCCCCACCAAAAAAAGAAGGCCTAGGGAAGAATATGACAAATTCAATGAGAATTGCTTAAATGTAATAGAAAAGGCAGCCATAATGGCAAGGGGGGAAAAAGAACTAAAATCTTAATACTAGGGGTTGAATAACAGGAAAATAAACAGGATAAATACTAGATAGCTTTAATCACAGGGAAATAGACAGGATAAATAAGGACCCACACGGAGGTGATGAGACAGGGAGACCAAAAATAGTAGACATGACAAACACTTCTTAAAGCAACACATAACAGAACCAACAAGAGTGAGAGGAGATGACCCGCCAGCAACACTAGACTTGGTGATCTTCCCAAATGAGGCAGATGTCGACAAAATAGAGTGAGAGATGCCACTAGACGCTAGTGACGACGACACTGTCAAGCGTGAGGAGTACACACTGCAACTGAAGGAGTTGGTTACGCAAAGAAACCCGATGAAGAAGAGAGATTGTAGACGTGGAGACTGCACTAAAATGAGGAACTTTCTGTGTGGAATCCAGTGGGAGAGAGAAATGGAAAGGAAGACATCACGTGGAATGATGGACTTCTTTGCTAGTAAATGTGCCGATGCCATGGAGCAGTTGGTACCCCTCAAGAGTAACAACGACCGAGAGAGATACACATACGTTTGGTCAGGTCTTGACCCCTACTCATGTCAGCTATTTCCAAAGGTTTACCTCGACACAAAAGTACTGATATTATCATATTGCAAGTAACAGAATGTTTCTTTTCTCAGTTCACACAACTACGAGAATAGTTTGTCAGAAACGTGAGAGGCGGCGTGTCGTGAACACCTTGCTGCTCGGTGGCCCGGGGGTGCATCCCTCAAGGCGAGACAAAGGAGGAGGACTCGGTGAGGCGTGCGACAATGCCAGGCTGTTGGGTGGTGGTGGTGTTGGTGGGGCGAGCCAGAGCAGACCTCAGTAACTTGAGAGTTAGCTCTCTATAACCAGCCTCCCAGAACTCCCTTCAGAACACTGCGCTGTGGACCGGGCACCAAAACACACACACACACACACACACACACACACACACACACACACACACACACACACACACACACAAACACACATATAAGAAGAAAAATGTCGGTGAACGACCAAGTGACAAGACTAAGGAAGACAGAGGGGGCATATACTGAAAGTGACAAGGAAATCTGCGAGGCACTGAATGCCAGTTTCCATGGAGTGTTCATTACCGAGCCTGAGCAGCTAGCTCCCATTGTTGGAAGGGGTTACCCTAGATGAAAGACTATCAGATATAGAGGTGACAGCAGAGGAGGTAATGAAACAGTTGACAACTCTAGATGCAACTAAAGCAGTTGGACCAGACAAAGTATCACCGTGGATACTAAAAGAAGCAGCACAGGCCCTCAGCGTGCCTCTGGCAATGATCTTTAATGAGTCACTTATGTCAGGAGAATTGCCCAGTTGCTGGAAGAAGGCAAATGTCGTGCCGATCTTCAAGAAAGGAGATAGGGAGGAGGCACTTAACTACAGACCTGTATCACTGACAAGCATCCCCTGTAAAATACTGGAAAGAATAATTAGGCTACGACTGGTTGCACACCTGGAGAACATTAGGTTTGTGAACAAACATCAACATGGGTTCTGGACAGGGAAATCGTGCCTAACAAACCTTCTGGAATTCTATGATAAAATAACGAGGATAAGACAGGACAGAGATGGTTGGGCAGACTGCATATTTCTGGACTGCCAAAAAGCCTTTGATACAATACCGCACATGAGACTGCTGTTCAAGCTCGAGAGGCAGACGGGGGTGGGGGGAAAGGTCCTAGCATGGATAAGGAACTACCTAACAGGAAAAGGTATTAACTATTTAATACCTTATTAATATTCCCTTTGTTATTCATTCATTCACTCATACACTTCAATCATATCTAACCTAACTCTTCGCTTTTCTAGAGAATGTTAATTAAGCTTTTTCAGTCTCTCGTCATATGGAAGGTTTAAAATTTGAGGGATTATTTTTGTCATCCTCCGCTGGGCGCGTTCTAGTGAATTTATGTCCATTCTATAACACGGCGACCAAAACTGACCTGCATAATCTAAATGGGGCCTAACACGAGCAAGATATAACTGCAGAATAACACCGGGCGTTTTATTACTAACGCTTTTTGAAATAAATCCCAGTGTCCTATTTGCCTTATTTCGAACATCTATTCATTGATTTTTTGGTTTTAAATTCTTACTAATCATAACTCCATTGTTTTGATCTGTCACAGATCATAGTTCGCCCCTTCCTCCTCTTCCCCTTTCCCTTCCCTTCCCTTGTTTGCTTTTCCCTTCCTTGTTCATTCTTTCCCCCCTCCCCATCGGGCCTTCCTGTCCTAAACGGTTCAAGCCAAGGGTTCTGAGTCAGGAGACCCCGGGTGGCTGGACAGTCCCTCTCAGCCCTTGTGGGAAAATCTTAGCAGGCTTTATTCATTTTCTTTTTATGAATATTCAAATTTAACTTAATTTTTTGTTACTTGAATATTATATTATTATTTTTTAGTTAAACTTCAATATTGAATTATTGTTCTTAGCGGACTGTATATTATAATTCAACCTTGTAAAGCTAATCACACACAATGGGAGGGACAAATGCTTACACCACTGTGAGTGGATAACTGTAAGCAAATGTTTACCTTATTGTTAAATATATAAATTACAAATCATACCACATATAGTGGTCTAATCTACAATTCTTATAACTATTTATAAACTACTCTATCTACAGTATGAAAGAACATAAAGGCCTTAGCTGAGTGGTTGTAATGGCCTAATTAGGCTGTATGTATTCCACTTCAGAATAGGGTGAGGCCCTGTGCCTCAAAGTGCATAAAATGGCGTCCTGGGCAGCTGGCGGCTTCGTGTACAACAGAGTAAAATCACAGTTATATTGGGGGCCAACTGTCTGCTTCAGTAACTTCCCTCATAATTACCTGTTTGGGATGTTTAACATTAGTAAAGCACATTAACATATATAAAGTACATGTGACGTGAATATTTGTGTATGTAGTAAAGAGCTGAGTAAAATGCTACTCACTGTGTTTGTGTGGTGTTCTCATGCTAATAACCGGCTTCTTAATCTATATTATCCGGTGCACCAAATAATAACTGAATATAAGGCAGTCGGATACTTAAGTATTGCTGTGGTTGTTGAGGGGCTGTTGTGGTTGTTGAGGGGCTGTTGTGGTTGTTGAGGGGCTGTTGTGGTTGTTGAGGGGCTGTTGTGGTTGTTGAGGGGCTGTTGTGGTTGTTGAGAGGCTGTTGTGGTTGTTGAGAGGCTGTTGTGGTTGTTGAGAGGCTGTTGTGGTTGTTGAGAGGCTGTTGTGGTTGTTGAGGGTTGTGGTGTTGAGAGGTTTGTGGTTGAGGGGCTGTTGTGGTTGTTGAGGGGCTGTTGTGGTTGTTGAGAGGCTGTTGTGGTTGTTGAGGGGCTGTTGTGGTTGTTGAGAGGCTGTTGTGGTTGTTGAGAGGCTGTTGTGGTTGTTGAGAGGCTGTTGTGGTTGTTGAGAGGCTGTTGTGGTTGTTGAGGGGCTGTTGTGGTTGTAGAGAGGCTGTTGTGGTTCTTGAGGGGCTGTTGTGGTTGTTGAGAGGCTGTTGTGGTTGTTGAGAGGCTGTTGTGGTTGTTGAGAGGCTGTTGTGGTTGTTGAGGGGCTGTTGTGGTTGTTGAGAGGCTGTTGTGGTTGTTGAGAGGCTGTTGTGGTTGTTGAGAGGCTGAGAGGCTGTTGTGGTTGTTGAGGGGCTGTTGTGGTTGTTGAGAGGCTGTTGTGGTTGTTGAGAGGCTGTTGTGGTTGTTGAGAGGCTGTTGTGGTTGTTGAGAGGCTGTTGTGGTTGTTGAGAGGCTGTTGTGGTTGTTGAGAGGCTGTTGTGGTTGTTGAGAGGCTGTTGTGGTTGTTGAGAGGCTGTTGTGGTTGTTGAGGGGCTGTTGTGGTTGTTGAGAGGCTGTTGTGGTTGTTGAGAGGCTGTTGTGGTTGTTGAGAGGCTGTTGTGGTTGTTGTGGTTGTTGAGAGGCTGTTGTGGTTGTTGAGAGGCTGTTGTGGTTGTTGAGAGGCTGTTGTGGTTGTTGAGAGGCTGTTGTGGTTGTTGAGAGGCTGTTGTGGTTGTTGAGAGGCTGTTGTGGTTGTTGAGAGGCTGTTGTGGTTGTTGAGAGGCTGTTGTGGTTGTTGAGGGGCTGTTGTGGTTGTTGAGGGGCTGTTGTGGTTGTTGAGAGGCTGTTGTGGTTGTTGAGAGGCTGTTGTGGTTGTTGAGAGGCTGTTGTGGTTGTTGAGAGGCTGTTGTGGTTGTTGAGAGGCTGTTGTGGTTGTTGAGAGGCTGTTGTGGTTATTGAGAGGCTGTTGTGGTTGTTGAGAGGCTGTTGTGGTTGTTGAGAGGCTGTTGTGGTTGTTGAGAGGCTGTTGTGGTTGTTGAGAGGCTGTTGTGGTTATTGAGAGGCTGTTGTGGTTGTTGAGAGGCTGTTGTGGTTATTGAGAGGCTGTTGTGGTTGTTGAGGGGCTGTTGTGGTTGTTGAAGGGCTGTTGTGGTTGTTGAAGGGCTGTTGTGGTTGTTGAAGGGCTGTTGTGGTTGTTGAGAGGCTGTTGTGGTTGTTGAGAGGCTGTTGTGGTTGTTGAGAGGCTGTTGCGGTTGTTGAGGGGCTGTTGTGGTTGTTGAGGGGCTGTTGTGGTTGTTGAGTGGCTGTTGTGGTTTTTGAGTGGCTGTTGTGGTTGTTGAGAGGCTGTTGTGGTTGTTGAGAGGCTGTTGTGGTTGTTGAGGGGCTGTTGTGGTTGTTGAGAGGCTGTTCTGGTTGTTGAGAGGCTGTTGTGGTTGTTGAGAGGCTGTTGTGGTTGTTGAGAGGCTGTTGTGGTTATTGAGAGGCTGTTGTGGTTATTGAGAGGCTGTTGTGGTTGTTGAAGGGCTGTTGTGGTTGTTGAGGGGCTGTTGTGGTTGTTGAAGGGCTGTTGTGGTTGTTGAGAGGCTGTTGTGGTTGTTGAGAGGCTGTTGTGGTTGTTGAGAGGCTGTTGTGGTTGTTGAGAGGCTGTTGTGGTTGTTGAAGGGCTGTTGTGGTTGTTGAGAGGCTGTTGTGGTTGTTGAGAGGCTGTTGTGGTTGTTGAGAGGCTGTTGTGGTTGTTGAGAGGCTGTTGTGGTTGTTGAAGGGCTGTTGAGGTTGTTGAGAGGCTGTTGTGGTTGTTGAGAGGCTGTTGTGGTTGTTGAGAGGCTGTTGTGGTTGTTGAGAGGCTGTTGTGGTTGTTGAGAGGCTGTTGTGGTTGCTGCTCGCTTGTTGACACGTAATCTGGGTATCTTAGCGAGTTTCGCCGGCTGGTAAGGAGCCACCTTACCAGCCTACACCTCTACAGCGTGGTGCTCTCTGTTATTGTTATGAGTCTGTGGGAAGTGACGCTGCCTCCCTCTGTGTTGTGATAATATCCTGGTTCAACTTCGGATTTTATTTAACAGTAACAAGGGAGTAAAGCTGTACCTCTTGTGTTGGTAATTATATATTCAGTCCTAGTGAACACTTTTTTTTTATTAAGTTTAAACACTAGACTGTGGTTTAAGTGAAGTGAGAGATATATAAATATACGACTTGTTGGAGTGACATAGTTCGAGTTCTCGTCACGGCCCTCGTGGATTTGTTCATATCCTTTAACTCTGTCATCATTAACTATCTTGGGGTTATCTTGAGATGATTTCGGGGCTTTAGTGTCCCCGCGGCCCGGTTCTCGACCAAGCCTCCACCCCCAAGAAGCAGCCCGTGACAGCTGACTAACTCCCAGGTACCTAATTTACTGCTAGGTAACAGGGGCATAGGGTGAAAGAAACTTTGCCCATTGTTTCTCGCCGGCGCCTGGGATCGAACCCAGGACCACAGGATCACAAGTCCAGCGTGCTGTCCGCTCGGCCGACCTAGCCTCAAAACCACAGTATGACGGCACATTTGTGAACATGAACGGTCGTTAGTAAAGCCGTGTTGTGAACCGCTTATTATTACATGGTTTTGTTCAAGATGAAGACGAATGGCTTTTGTAATTATCGTCTCAAGCAATTTTCCCGACAATAGACGTTATGCTAATTGGCCGATAGTTTGACGCAAGTGATCTATCTCCTTTCCAATCCCGAGTTCAGATATAGCTGAAAAAAAACTTTAGGGGTTTGACTTTCCTTACCCTGCTATACGAACTTCAAAGTTTCTTTTTGACTTCCTTATCTCTTTTTTTTTAATTTCTATTTCTAATGATATCTCACGTCACTAGAAGACAAAAGCGCTGGGGTAGAGACATGATTACTACCTACAAGATTCTCGGGGGAATTGACGGGGTAGACAAAAACAAACTATTTAGCATGGGTAGTACACGCACAAGGGGACACAGGTGGAAACTGAGTACTCAAATGAGCCACAGAGACATTAGAAAGATTTTTTCAGCGCCAGAGTAGTTAACAAATGGAATGCATAAGGCAGTGATATGATGGAGGCTGACTCCATACACATCTTCAAATGTAGATATGATATAGCCCAATAGGCTCAAGAATCTGTGTTGATTGACAGTTGAGCGGCGGGACCAAAGAGCCAAAGCTCAACCCCCACAAGCATAACTAGGTGAGTACACACACTGAAGGCCCCGAGGGCACAGTTACTGCCCTCGTGCCGAACGATGTGCGTCTAATTAGGTTTTTAAGAGTCTGTGGAGACACCATTACTGTGGAGGAGGAGGAAGGACGCCGCCTGGCCGTCATCCTCTGGAGACGGGTAGGTCACTGCCCCCGCATCCCACCAACACTACCGCACAACACAACACAACACTACCGCACAACACACAACACAACACCACCGTACAACAGAACACCACCACACAACACAACACCATCACACAACACCACCACACAACACGAAACCTCCCAAAACAACTTGAATAAACAATTCTAAAACCGACAAAGGTTCCTGACTGCTGCCACATGCTCAGTAAAAGTTAAACTGAGTATTATGCAGAGCCGGACACTCCCGCCTGTGGCCAGTGGACTTTCACTAGCGGTTACTTCGCTGCGCTTGTCAACACACCTTCCGGACTCGAGGCAGTACTGGTGTAGTATACACTTCCCCGATCGGTAGAAACGCTGACCTTGGCTCCACAAGGTGAAGGCAGAAGAATCAGCCTCGTACGTGAATTATCGAACCTATTTACCTTCTCAATATTTACTGGACGACATCGAGATACCGTGGAAACGTAAACACAAGAGCCCCAGAGGGGGAGAGGGAAGAAATTGACAATAGACAGGTGTTTTCATCCTTATGAGTTAAAACTCTCCGGGCCTATTTTTCTTGTCCTATCGCACATCCTTATCCTATAACCCCTTCCATGGGCTACATATAGTCGTGATGGCTTGGAGCTTCTCCTGCTAGTTCCCCTTCCTTTCCTGGCAGCAATACCCGCGTATGATCCACCTGGCTCCTGTCTGATCCACCTGACACCTGTCTGATCCACCTGACACCTGTCTGATCCACCTGGCACCTGTCTGATCTACCTGACACCTGTCTGATCCACCTGGCACCTGTCTGATCTACCTGGCACCTGTCTGATCTACCTGGCACCTGTCTGATCCACCTGGCTCCTGTCTGATCCACCTGGCACCTAATGTCTGCCTGTGGTCATTACTAGTCGACAGCCTTCTTCGTGGGTTCCGTCGACAGCCTTCTTCGAGGGTTCCGTCGACAGCCTTCTTTCCATCGACAGCCTTCTTCGAGGGTTCCGTCGACAGCCTTCTTTCCATCGACAGTCTTCTTCGAGGACTCCGTCGACAGCCTTCTTCGAGGACTCCGTCGACAGCCTTCTTCGTGGGTTCCGTAGACAGCCTTCTTTGAGGGTTCCGTCGAGTCTTCTTCGAGGGTTCCGTCGACAGCCTTCTTCGAGGGTTCCGTCGACAGCCTTCTTCGCGGGTTCCGTCGACAGCCTTCTTCGCGGGTTCCGTCGACAGCCTTCTTCGCGGGTTCCGACAGCCTTCTTCGCGGGTTCCGACAGCCTTCTTCGAGGGTTCCGTCGACAGCATTCTTCGTGGGTTCCGTCGACAGCCTTCTTCGTGGGTTCCGTCGACAGCCTTCTTCGTGGGTTTCGTCGACAGCCTTCTTCGAGGGTTCCGTCAGCCTTCTTCGAGGGTTCCGTCAGCCTTCTTCGAGGGTTCCGACAGCCTTCTTCGAGGGTTCCGACAGAAGTCTTCGAGGGTTCCGACAGCCTTCTTCGCGAGTTCCATCGACAGTCTTCTTCGTGGGTTCCGTCGACAGCCTTCTTCGCGGGTTCCGACAGCCTTCTTCGCGGGTTCCGTCGACAGCCTTCTTCGCGGGTTCCGACAGCCTTCTTCGTGGGTTCCGTCGACAGCCTTCTTCGCGGGTTCCGACAGCCTTCTTCGCGGGTTCCGTCGACAGCCTTCTTCGCGGGTTCCGACAGCCTTCTTCGTGGGTTCCGTCAACAGCCTTCTTCGTGGGTTCCGACAGCCTTCTTCGCGGGTTCCGTCAACAGCCTTCTTCGTGAGTTCCGACAGCCTTCTTCGCGGGTTCCGTCAACAGCCTTCTTCGTGGGTTCCGACAGCCTTCTTCGCGGGTTCCGTCAACAGCCTTCTTCGTGGGTTCCGACAGCCTTCTTCGTGGGTTCCGTCAACAGCCTTCTTCGTGGGTTCCGACAGCCTTCTTCGTGGGTTCCGACAGCCTTCTTCGCGGGTTCCGTCAACAGCCTTCTTCGTGGGTTCCGACAGCCTTCTTCGCGGGTTCCGTCGACAGCCTTCTTCGCGGGTTCCGACAGCCTTCTTCGCGGGTTCCGTCAACAGCCTTCTTCGTGGGTTCCGTCAACAACCTTCTTCGCGGGTTCCGTCAACAGCCTTCTTCGTGGGTTCCGTCAACAGCCTTCTTCGTGGGTTCCGTCAACAGCCTTCTTCGCGGGTTCCGTCAACAGCCTTCTTCGCGGGTTCCGTCAACAGCCTTCTTCGTGGGTTCCGTCAACAACCTTCTTCGCGGGTTCCGTCAACAGCCTTCTTCGTGGGTTCCGTCAACAGCCTTCTTCGTGGGTTCCGTCAACAGCCTTCTTCGCGGGTTCCGTCAACAGCCTTCTTCGTGGGTTCCGTCAACAGCCTTCTTCGTGGGTTCCGTCAACAGCCTTCTTCGTGGGTTCCGACAGCCTTCTTCGCGGGTTCCGTCAACAGCCTTCTTCGTGGGTTCCGACAGCCTTCTTCGCGGGTTCCGTCAACAACCTTCTTCGCGGGTTCCGACAGCCTTCTTCGCGGGTTCCGTCAACAGCCTTCTTCGAGGGTTCCGTCGACAGCCTTCTTCGCGGGTTCCGACAGCCTTCTTCGCGGGTTCCGACAGCCTTCTTCGTGGGTTCCGACAGCCTTCTTCGTGGGTTGACGGAACCCCTTCCAGTTTCAAGTGAGTTCCCCTTTCGTAGGTGAGCGCATGCGTGAACTGGAGGCAACAACACCCGGGCTTGTCCCGTGGTGAGACGAGCTGCGTCACTCCCTAGCTCCTCGACGCTAGCACTCGCTGCGTCACTCCCTAGCTCCTCGCTAGCACTCGCTCCGTCACTCCCTAGCTCCTCGCTAGCACCCGCTGCTGCTCCTGGCTTAGCCTGTTAATCCCCGGCAGGTCGTGAGGGGTGCTTGGCGTTCTTGCTAGGCTCTCACGCCGGGTTAATGTTACAGTGTATATCTCCTTTATGGCGCGCCAGTCATCAACCCCCTGCTTTTTGTTGGACGCTCGTAGTCGCCTGTACTGGACGCTGGTGGTCACCTGTACTGGACGCTGGTAGTCACGTGTACTGGACGCTGGTGGTCGCCTGTACTGGACGCTGGTGGTCGCCTGTACTGGACGATGGTGGTCGCCTGTACTGGACGTTGGTGTCCGCCTGTACTGGACGCTGGTGTCCGCCTGTACTGGACGCTGGTGTCCGCCTGTACTGGACGATGGTGGTCGCCTGTACTGGACGCTGGTGGTCGCCTGTACTGGACGTTGGTGTCCGCCTGTACTGGACGCTGGTGTCCGCCTGTACTGGACGCTGGTGTCCGCCTGTACTGGACGCTGGTGGTCGCCTGTACTGGACGCTGGTGGTCGCCTGTACTGGACGCTGGTGGTCGCCTGTACTGGACGCTCGTAGTCGCCTGTACTGGACGCTGGTGGTCACGTGTACTGGACGCTGGTGGTCGCCTGTACTGGACGCTGGTGGTCGCCTGTACTGGACGCTGGTGTCCGCCTGTACTGGACGCTGGTGTCCGCCTGTACTGGACGCTGGTGGTCGCCTGTACTGGACGCTGGTGGTCGCCTGTACTGGACGCTGGTGGTCGCCTGTACTGGACGCTCGTAGTCGCCTGTACTGGACGCTGGTGGTCACGTGTACTGGACGCTGGTGGTCGCCTGTACTGGACGCTGGTGGTCGCCTGTACTGGACGCTGGTGGTCACGTGTACTGGACGCTGGTGGTCGCCTGTACTGGACGCTGGTGGTCGCCTGTACTGGACGCTCGTAGTCGCCTGTACTGGACGCTGGTGGTCGCCTGTACTGGACGCTGGTGGTCGCCTGTACTGGACGCTCGTAGTCGCCTGTACTGGACGCTGGTGGTCACCTGTACTGGACACTGGTGGTCGCCTGTACTGGACGCTGGTGTCCGCCTGTACTGGACGCTGGTGGTCACCTGTACTGGACGCTCGTAGTCGCCTGTACTGGACGCTGGTGGTCGCCTGTACTGGACGCTGGTGGTCGCCTGTACTGGACGCTGGTGGTCGCCTGTACTGGACGCTGGTGGTCACCTGTACTGGACGCTCGTAGTCGCCTGTACTGGACGCTGGTGGTCGCCTGTACTGGACGCTGGTAGTCTCCTGTACTGGACGCTGGTGTCCGCCTGTACTGGACGCTGGTGGTCGCCTGTACTGGACGCTGGTGGTCGCCTGTACTGGACGCTCGTAGTCGCCTGTACTGGACGCTCGTAGTCGCCTGTACTGGACGCTGGTGTCCGCCTGTACTGGACGCTGGTGGTCACCTGTACTGGACGCTGGTGGTCGCCTGTACTGGACGCTGGTGGTCGCCTGTACTGGACGCTGGTGGTCGCCTGTACTGGACGCTGGTGGTCACCTGTACTGGACGCTGGTGGTCGCCTGTACTGGACGCTGGTGGTCGCCTGTACTGGACGCTGGTGGTCACGTGTACTGGACGCTGGTGGTCGCCTGTACTGGACGCTGGTGGTCGCCTGTACTGGACGCTGGTGGTCGCCTGTACTGGACGCTGGTGGTCACGTGTACTGGACGCTAGTGGTCGCCTGTACTGGACGCTGGTGGTCACCTGTACTGGACGCTGGTGGTCACGTGTACTGGACGCTAGTGGTCGCCTGTACTGGAGGCTTCGCCTTAAGCCCCAAATATACGCACCACAACTCCGCCTCACTCGAGCAATATACACCAAATGAAGCGTAATGTAAAGCTAATGAAGAGGAGAACCCAAGTGCGAGTCGCGAGGACGGCCAAGGTCGTCCTTAAGAGCCTCACGCACAGACATGACTCACCTCCAGCTATGTCAACCTCAGCTGGCGATCTGTGCTCCGTCGCCTCCTCCTCCTCCTCCGGCGGAGGTCACAGCCTCGCCTCCCTTATCGCCGACACATTAATAAGAATCTACCACAGGGAACTTAAGACCTCCAGACGTGTAGTCACAACAGAGGGTTTCTGCGGGGTATTGAGGGAGAGCTGTGAGGGGGTGGCCCCCCTTCCTGGGCACCAGCGGCACAAATCATGTTGTGATAACGCCAGAGGCAGCGTGCTGGGGGCGTAATCCGACCCCGCACTGATTCTCTTCATCCCCACCACCCCCTGCTTCCTGCTGACGCTCCCCGCCCCCTTCCCTCCTGCAGAGGCTTCCCTGCTGAGGCTTCCCCCCCAACCTCCTGCAGAGGCTTCCCTTCCCAAGGTAGGGGCTCTCCTGTGGTCGCCTTTGGATCAGGATAAAAGTTTGGAATCCCCCCCCCCCCCACCCGTCCGTCCCATTCCAATTTTTTTTATCCTGATCGCTTCTTAGTGCTAGATAGTCATAATAACTTGGCGCTTTCTCCTGAGAATTCCCTCCCTCCGTCCCCTGCCCCCCTCCAGAGGCTCGTTCCGGACTCACCCCAGCAATGGCCCTTGTTCACTCCACTCCCCCCCCGGCGGAGTGGCCTGATTCTTGACGCGCAGTAGAGGCGTGTGCTTCCAGTAACGTGATCAGCGCATGTTGTCACGACCCACCGCGGCCGCTCCCACACTAACCTCTATCTCCCCATCATATAACCCTCACGTGTAGGATAATAACCCTACACTTAGGTATTTGCACATTTTAGGTCAAGATTAGAACTCCACCAAGTCTTTCGCACGCTCCTGGGTGTATCAGATCCAGGTCTGAGTATACGGTTGGTGTTAGTATTCAAATTGTACGACGGTTTGGGGATAGCCAATCACAAATCAAGTAAGCCTCCGACGTCATTCTCCACAGAGAGCTGGTACCAGCCGTTCTGGCGACCAGTCAGTATTCTCACAGACCTCAGAGTAGGAAGGACCCCGGCTAGGATCCACCAGTCCCCCCTGCTTGACCTCCTGACCAGGTCACCTCCAGGCCTGCCACTGTGTCCGAGGGAAGGCCTTCTGGGCAACGGTGAGCAGTGGTCACCTCTGGCATCCTGGGGTTCTGAGAACTGGAGTTGGTATAAGTAAAGGCATCCAACCGGAGGCTGTCCCCAGCGATTCCCTCCACACCCAAAGGAGAGCAGCTTATGGGACTACAGATTCATATATTTATTCATATCTAATTTGAATTCTTGTCAATTCTTGTCAAGACTACTACCTTCAGATTCACCATCACACGCCTCCAGACTCACCATCACACGCCCCCCAGACTCACCATCACACGCCCGCAGACTCACCATCACACGCCTCCAGACTCACCATCACACGCCCCCCAGACTCACCATCACACGCCCGCAGACTCACCATCACACGTCCCCAGACTCACCATCACACGCCCCCCAGACTCACCATCACACGCCCCCCAGACTCACCATCACACGCCCCCCAGACTCACCATCACACGCCCCCCAGACTCACCATCACACGCCCCCAGACTCACCATCACACGCCCCCCAGACTCACCATCACACGCCCCCCAGACTCACCATCACACGCCCCCCAGACTCACCATCACATGCCCCCCAGACTCACCATCACACGCCCGCACTCACCATCACACGCCCCCCAGACTCACCATCACACGCCCCCCAGACTCACCATCACACGCCCCCAGACTCACCATCACACGCCCCCCAGACTCACCATCACACGCCCCCAGACTCACCATCACAGGCGACAAGACTCACCATCACACGCGACAAGACTCACCATCACACGCCCCCAGACTCACCATCACACGCCCCCAGACTCACCATCACACGCGACAAGACTCACCATCACACGCGACAAGACTCACCATCACACGCGACAAGACTCACCATCACACGCGACAAGACTCACCATCACACGCGACAAGACTCACCATCACACGCGACAAGACTCACCATCACACGCGACAAGACTCACCATCACACGCGACAAGACTCACCATCACACGCGACAAGACTCACCATCACACGCGACAAGACTCACCATCACACGCGACAAGACTCACCATCACACGCCCCCAGTCTCACCATCACACGCGACAAGACTCACCATCACACGCGACAAGACTCACCATCACACGCGACAAGACTCACCATCACACGCGACAAGACTCACCATCACACGCGACAAGACTCACCATCACACGCGACAAGACTCACCATCACACGCCCCCAGACTCACCATCACACGCCCCCAGACTCACCATCACACGCCCCCCAGACTGACCTTCACACGCCTCCAGACTCACCATCACACGCGACAAGACTCACCATCACACGCGACAAGACTCACCATCACACGCGACAAGACTCACCATCACACGCCCCCAGACTCACCATCACACGCGACAAGACTCACCATCACACGCCCCCAGACTCGCCATCACACGCCCCCAGACTCACCATCACACGCCCCCAGACTAACCATCACACGCCCCCAGACTCACCATCAGGTGGCTCTGACGTAAACAATAACACATTCAGGTCCTCCAGAATAACAACAATGACAAACAATATAACCTGAAGGAAGCTGTAAACAAAAATCCATTTTTAGTTAAATCCGGATTGTTGTTTACAAAAACCTTCAACTGAAGATGTCCAGCGAAGTGTATAAATTCCTTTAATATTCCGCGTTGTATAACATGAATTGTTATACAATTCTTAACACACAAAAAAACCTGGGGAACAACTTACTAATTGGCCATTAAGCGAATTGCCCCCCCCCCCTTGCCTCGTTACACTTAATGCAATTCAAAGCAAATCACCACTTACAAAATATTACGGTTGAGCAATGATTTAATTTTCCACACAATCTGGCAGACGTTCACACGCGTAGCGACAAAACTCTCACTAACAACAACACAATTGCCACAACATGGCATTAGTCTCACGACGGGTCGCCGTGCACTTTTAATGTGATTGCACAATGAGCTTCACTCACAATATAAATTATGTTTAAAACTCCTGAGGTGTACTTTTAATATTTCGATTTCGTACTCTTATTCATATTATATTTCGCAACATCAGTGGTGACGGCTTTAAGGAGCACCTGAAGGTGACTTCTCAGACCAACTTCCCACATCATTAATGACCCCCTCTATTTATAATTTCAGATGACGTCGTGTAGTATAACAGCTTGGGAATATACCTAACGAGCCTCTAATAACTTGCGCGTCTTGGAGAGTATATCAAGTGTTCAGCGTTACCCAACTTGCCGATAAACAGACTCATTAATACTTAAATATGAGAGTGTAGCGAGTCAAGACATCGACCGTAATCTTAAGTGGTCGGCCCACACTTGCTCCGGTAAATTAAAAAGTGATTATGACAGTTCTTGCGTTTACTGATGACGTGATGTCTGGGAACGCGAGCGGGTGATAGACGGGAGAGAGACGGGTGATAGATGGTGTTAGTCTGGAATTAGATTGGTTCTGGAAGGGTGATAGAATGGTACTAGGCTAGTGCTAGACGGGTGCTAGAGCGTTGCTTGGTGGGTGCTAGATGTGTAGTAGATAGGTACTTCTTTAGAGCGTCTCTCTGTGCTCTGAGGAAAAAGGATGGAGGGATCAGACCAATAGCTGTGGACAATTCCTTCCGGCGCCTGAGGCAAAGGCTGCTGCGAGAACAGTTAGCCAGGCAGCAGCCAATATGCTAAAGCCAAAAGAACTCTTGTTCAGCATTCCACAAGGGTGCGAGACAGCAGCTCATGCAGCTCGAGCTTCCATTGCTAACATCACAGACGAAAAGGCCCTGATCAAGCCAGGTTTCAAAAATGCGTTCAATCTGGTAAAAAGTACTCCATGCGGTTCATGGTTACTTCCCTTCTCTCTACCTATGTGTCACAGTAAGACCCTTAAGCAAATTCTTGGTGAAAATGAAATTGACTCGCAAGGTGTCTAAGAGGGTGACCCTCTTGCTCATCTCCTTTTATGTTTAATTATTAAAGAAGTCACCGAAAACCTGTCCAGCGAGCTTTATATCTAGTTCATGGATAATGGTACCCAAGCTGGTTCCCAAGACTTCCTCCAGGAAGACATCAGATCAATCTAGGAGGAAGGGGCTAATCTAGGCCTCACCCTGAACTCCTCTAAGTGCGAAATAATCTGTTCCAACTAGTGCATCATAGATCGAATAAGGGTTGTTTTTCCTGATATTCATATAACCAAACCTTAAGTTAGCACACTTCTAGGAGCTCCTCTGGGACCGAAGGTTATCAGCGAAGTCCTTGATAAGAAAGTCGCTGACCTGAGGAGGACGAGTTGGAGGAATGAAGAGACCGGTGTTCACCACACACTTACCTCCTTGCCAGATGCCTCTCCTTCCCCAGACTTACTTTCGGAGATGTTCTCCAGCCTAAAATAGTCAAAAGCTAGGTAAATATGACTGCTTACTGAAATCACTGTTAGAAAAAGTCTTAAACCTTTCCCTCAATAAGACTACAATGGAAACAAACCATTCTGTAGTCAGGCTTGGGGGTCTCCTCGGCGTTCACATAAAGCAAATTACTACACCAGCCTTTCTGTCTTCCTCCTCAGCTCAGGAGCAGATTATCTCATGTAAATCCGCCGAAGAAAAATTCAGTAGCCAAAGCCACGTGTCTACCTCGTCAGCATCTGACATCCTACTGAAGAAATCTCTACCCGACTACTTATATCAACTAGCTGGGATACACGATCCCAACTTTATTCACTGTGCCACTAAATGGGCCTCTCGTGCATGCCCGGCAACCCAACTACCACCATCAAAAGTCCACACGTAATCCACATGAAATAGCCCCATTGCAGACCGAGATGCTGCAGGGGGGCCTTAATGCTGTGACAACACAACATGAATCATAGCATCCCCTCATGCTCTGTCAAAGCACAGGAGGATGTAACAGGCACAGTAAAATAAGCACAGGCACGGTAAAGTTAGTGACATCATCAAGAGGAGCTTTACCACAGCTGGATGTCGAGCTGAAAGAGAGCCCCATTACCTAACGTCCTGTGACTTGGATGTTCTTATTGGTCGCCCAGATGGGATCACATTGAACCCTGTGGAAGCACAGCAAACACTTGGTGAGGGACTACACACGAGTATCAACCTTGGTTAACATACACATTGACTTCAGCACTGCCCATCAGGATGTTACTGTCACACACAGGGAATCACCCATGTATCTAAGTACAGAGAACTGGATCACAACCACCATTTTGTCCCTATTACTTCCAAAACACTTGATGCCTGGAGCAAGAATTTCTCCAGTTTTTTAAGGAACTGGGTGCTAAGCTGATTGAAATAATAAGAGACCTCTAGAGCTGCCAGCTTCCTATTCCAGTGCCTCAGGGTGGCGAGAAAGTATACTACTGAGAGACGCAGCTGACGCGACCGTGAAGGTCTCTGACACAGTGTTCAGACCACAACTAACATAAAACTTTACGCCACAGTGGATGAAGAGAGAGCGAGTACCGGAGGTCGGCGGCGTCCCTGGTGCATGCTGTATGAGCACCGGGGGCGTCCCCAGCACCTGGGACACCACCTGGCCTACCTGTGGTGAAGGAACACCGTCCGGCGTTGCAGGAGGGTGTAGGGACCCCACTTGACGTACCTGTTTTTTTGGTTGAACACTGGTGTTGTTGTGGTGTGGCGGGACTCATTCTGGCGTTGCTGGGGTGACGGAAGGGCCATAGGGTAAGGGTGCAAGAATTACGGAGGAAAAGAGGCCACCATAAAACTGTGGTACTCAGAGGGTGGGCCATGTACCTTACCACGGCCCAGCGACCACACCCATTAACCCTTCACATCCAGCTGCAGCTCTGTGGCCGTCACGGTGGCGGGGTCCTGCAGTAGCTACGTGACTATCACTTTGTCACGGTTGCAGGATCCAAGCATTACCTGCAACTGGAATGTCCTCGGAAGTATACAAATAGTCCGCCTACACTTAAGCCATTTCGGTGTGGCGTGCGTCGTACATTGAGCCAACATGTTGTACAGAACGCCACACCCAACGGACCCGATGTAAGACTCACCAGTTACTAGCAACTGTGTGAATGAGTCTCACTAATTTCCACATTATGATATTGTAAGCGCTTTCTCGTGCAGGTGAACCAAGTCGAGGCACCAGTTCGGTAAAGTATAATTAGTGCTCCTTAAACACCGAGGGAAAGTACACCTTAGGCACTCCCACTGTGCTTCAGATGTCGCTCCTGCTCATCTTGGGTAAATAGGTGAAAATTATTAAATCTTATATTTATAACAGTAGTAGGTCATTCATTGCTTTAGTGGATATTAAGTTCCATTTCTCCATAATGAGGCCAACCATGTCACAGTAGTATTGGTACATATTCTCCACCACGCCAGTCAATACAATTATAACTGTGATACTATGACAGAGAGAGCTACAAAAATAGGATACAGTTGCACCATCAGCAGTTTCACAAGCTAGTGGATCAAACTCACTTGGCGTACACAGCTCATGTAAGATCTAACATTAACAGGATTTAAATTGCGTATCAACAAGCCATCTCTTTGTGACTGTAATTCCTTAATAATATCTAGTATCCTGTTGAGGGAACCTCATCGCTCCCTGCTAATTACAATAGTATTAATATTCTACCCCTGTAGACCCGAGACACCACAGTACACACCACACACAATTAGTTCTATATTCTTACAATCATGTTCATATTTCTAGCAGAGATAGAGTGGCCAGGGCTAAGCAACTGGTCATCCAAACGACCCCATGATTTGTAATTTAATGAGCCAAACAAGCGCTCTCGAGCACTCTGCTTTCAGCTTTAACCATCATATGCCATGTTAGGAATTGATTGAAATATGTTGATCACACTCCAAGCATAATCTGCAGCTTCTCGCTTCGTCGAATAAATATTTAATGGTCCAGAACCAGTGTACCTGATACGTATCTGTAAGAACCTGGGTCACCTCTCTAAGAATCTCTTTCACCAATGTAGGAATTGGTTTTGCTCCTATTAAAATATATTTCATGATTTGAATACATTAAGATTAACTGGAAGTGTCATTAATGTGTTTATATTCCGTCTTATTTACGGTGTTGATGTGGTGTCCATTTTATGTAAGGGTCCCCTAAATGGTGACCAAGGGAATCCTTATGGATATTTTAGTAGTGCATTAGTTATATATATATATATATATATATATATATATATATATATATATATATATATATATATATATATATATATATATATATATATATATATTTATGCAACAATGATCACAAAAACACTGATCCAAGTATGCAGAATAACCACATGTGAAAAATAGAGAATGCTTAACGCGTTTTCGGCTAATTCGCCTTCATCAGAGCAAAGTAGAATGAAGATAGAATGAAGGTCTTCATTCTACTTTGCTCTGATGAAGGCGAATTAGCCGAAAACGCATTAAGCATTCTCTATTTTTCACATGTGGTTATTCTGCATATATATATATATATATATATATATATATATATATATATATATATATATATATATATATATATATATATATATATATATATATATA